CATTTGTATGTTTTTCACGTGGAAATTATGATTTCCAATTACATGTATTTATGTACATGATTATGCATTATCGTTATCGATTTTGTCTTTAAAATCAATTCTCGAATTTTAATCGATTCTTTAATTTTAATCGAATTCTCAAATATTAATCGATTCTACAAAATTAATCGATTCTCAGAATCGATTCGAAATTAATTAATTCTAGAGAATCGATTCCAAATTAAGATCTATTTGTGGCTTATATCAGGAAATGACCCCCCTAGCGCCCGCATACTTTCAAAATAATTTATCTGCGCAGAACTTTCTCAATATGCGCATGATATAATTAATATCAATGCCTCATATTATTGAATTTAAGATTAAAGTTTGAATTTTTTTATCTGCGCAACCAGTCTTCAATCTATGGTGGGCAGACTGCGCAGGTCAATTTGAAACGGTGCCCCCTCCCCTGATAATTACGTAATATCTGTCACTTCTCTAATGTGATTGCTTGCATTTTTGTAATAAATACATCGCTATTGAACAACTAAGAATCGGCTGAAACGATTTTTGAAATCGAAATTCAACAAAAAAGGAAATTAATCAATTATTTGTTCTTTTTCAAGAAATGATTCATTGTTTGAAATCAGAGAAGGGTGGAAATGCTAATAAACAATGTAATCTTGGTTTTTGTAATATGAATTGCATTGGAACACAAAGAGATGAGAAAAAAGTATTTGAGTGGTATTTGAAATCAGCGGAGGGTGGAAATGTTAAAGGACAATTTTGTCTTGGTTTTTGTTATATGAATGGAATTGGAACACAAAAAGATGAGAAAAAAGCATTTGTGTGGTATTTGAAATCAGCGGAGGGTGGAAATGTTAATGGACAATTTTGTATTGGTTTCTATTATATGAAGGGTATTGGAACACAAAAAGATGAGAAAAAAGCATTTGAGTGGCATCTGAAATCAGCGGAGAGTGGAAATGCTAATGGAGAATTTATTGATCTTAGTTTCTGTTATAAAAATGGTACCGGAACACAAAATTTTTATTATATGACTGGTATTGGGACACAAAAAAATGAGAACAATGCATTTGAGTGGACTTTCAAATTAGCGGAAGATGGAAGTGTTAATGGAGAATTTAGCATCGGAAACATATACTATTATGGAGTTGGAACAAATAGAGACATGAAGAAAGCTTTTCTTCTGTTTCAAAAATCAGCTGAGACCGAAAATATGCAAGCTCAATATCTTCTTGCTAGGTGCTATTTTTGCGGAGAAGGAATTTCTAGAAATGAAAACAAAGCATTCGAGTGGTATTTAAGATCTGCCGAATCTGGATATAAATTAGCTCAATTTCAACTTGCTGAATGTTATCAATACGGATTCGGAGTTCCAATAGATCTTGATATGTCATTGAAGTGGTATCAAAAAGCTTACGATAATGGGCACGATCGTGCCGCGGAACTGATTGAATCATTCAATTTTGAAAAAATATATTCTTACTATAGTCTTTAAATTAGTCGAAGCACTAATAAAACCTTGGATGAAGTTGGTTCCAGAAAGTGATAATAAATCTACCTCGAGAAATCGGATTGTTCAGGATTTTATATTATGTAATGTTTTTTTATATGACTATACTTTAGTTACGTAACTTTAGAGAGGGAGTGATTATACAGAAAAAAAATATATTAATCAAAAATTGAGTGAAATAATATTGTTTTTAGAATAATGAACTTTTTATAATTAGTTAACTTAATCTAGAGATAACAAAGAGATAAAACAAATTTCGCGTTTTTTTTGTTTCAAAGTTTAAGAAGTTAGCAAAGAAATATAGTAAAATGCTCAACCAATTTAAAGAAATTTGAATGATTCAAACATTTCTTTAGCCCTTTGATATCACATGAAGGTTAAGTCAAGATTGTTTGAATTTCTATTCAATTTGCAATATAGAATTACGGCTGATCTAGTCTTAAATACCACTTTATCGGTTCCTTTTTTTATATTCATAATATTGTTCTAATCAAAATTGTAAGCAAGAATTATCGCTGATAGACAAATAGTTCTTTTATGTCTTTTATAACTAAATTTTCAGAATAAATCTGGCTTTATTATTTTTTAGACTTTGATGCTTTCAAATACCATTCGAATATTTTCTTCATTTTTTTTTCAGAGAGCAAAATTGTATGTGTTTGAGACTTTGCTGCTTTTAAATATCATTTGGATACTTTTCATCTTTGATTGCTCTTTTTCAGTTTGGGTAGCAAAGAACTAGCTTTGTTGTTTTTGAAAAAACCCAGACCCTGCTGGTTTTAAATATCATTTTAATACTTTTATTGTTCCTTCTTTATTTGTGTAAATAAAATGTTTTCGTAATTCTGAACTCATAAACATGTACATGTAGTACCAGACAGCATAAATCATCAAATTTATATAAAATTCCTCTTACAGATTGATATTTTTTAGTGAAACTATAATTATGTAAGAGGATTTTTTATTTTATTTTGTTTTCAAAAAGTTATAATGATTTAAGATTTTACTAATATAAAATAAAGAATTCTGATTGGTCAATTAATATAAGATCTACAATAAATTTTGGCGTTTTGGCGCAGTATTGGATGATCTGGTACTGTATATACTCCAAAGAATAGATCACTATATATACAGTATTAAGAGATTCATTCCAAAAGCATCAAATATATCAATAAATTGATTAACAGTCTATATGTTTCTCAATTATTTTGACATATATATAATAAAACGAAATTGATCTAAATATTTTAATATAATCTAAACATTCTTGAGTGGTGTTTGAACAAAAATATGGTGCATACCATCTAAAGTCATCAAATGTTTGTATTTTACAAAATGGATAACTTCTTTACTAAGAAGTAAATACAAAATTTAATCCGTAAATATCCTCAGAAAGGGTCTATTCTATTATATTTACGGATTAAAATTTGTATTTACTTCTTAGTAAAGAAGTTTATTAAATACAACGTTTGATAACTTTAGATGGCATGCACCATAGCTTTCGTTTCTTTTTGATTAATCAAATATCTTAACTCAGACATCTATATTCAGATAACTATTGCAATGCATTGATGTTTCAAAATAATCTTGGAATTAGTCGATTTTAATTGTTGATGTTGATTTGGTCAATTTATAGTCTCCATCACTCTTATTGTAAATTGTCAATAAAGATTATGCATCTGAAAATATGATTTATTTTAAATGCATCATGATTAATTAACATCCCTACAATAGATATATTGTAGGAATTCTAAGTAAAATATAAACATGTCGTTATTTATATAAATCAGAAAAAAATAAATAATATGGCAATACAAACTTATGAATAATACGTAAAAGAGCAAAACAAAAGTCTACACATCCGGATAATTCGTTTCAGCAACTAGTAACTAGTGCTAGTATCATCGCCCAATACTGAATTACTTGCGGGTTGAAAATGAGACTAATGCTTTCACGGAGACTGTAGCATTTATCTTTTCACTTCATTTAATTTTATGAATGCTCGAAGTTTCTCGATAATCTAGATGGAACAGTTCATGATATCGTACAAATTTGAAAAAGAAATTTGTGCTTCATATTCAATAAAGATGATACAAAATAATTATTTGTATGCGGCATGTATGGATTTGTTCGTTTCGAATAAAAAGTACATTGAACATTTAAAAATTATGCATACATATAATTCTGGTAAAAGAATACATGTATTAAAACATAAAGATTGGAACCTGACTTATTAACCAACAGTTTAATGCAGTGTTGCCAATGGACCAAGATCCAGTGATTATACAGAACAAATGAAACAATGGAGTACATGTATTCTCAATGAAACAATGGACCAGTGTTCAATGTTCAATCCATTGAAGTGTGGTGGTTATATATTTGCAGATGCAATTTTATCGATATGAATTTTTACATGCTATATATTACACCATGTGGATTTATTACGTATATACCAGGGTACCTCCAGTAAAATTATATACGTATCGATATCGATATGCAGTTTCAGGTAAATTGAATACTACTTAGATTTGCATGTGAAAAATACGTAGCGGCAGCAGTAGATTCAGGTGCAAATATCTCTGATGTATTATCATTGTTGTTTGATATCGATATTGAATACAACACTTTCTTTCGTTATTACACACATCTTGGGCTTAGCGTTAATATACTAAAGAAGGAAATACACTACAGTATATGGACAATAGCATCACACCACAAGCTACGCCTGACACCAATCCTGTATTAGCTATTATGACCCGCAAATATCTGAGACCCTTGTTCCCTTGGAACGGTTGTGGTAAACAAATTATTATTGGTAAAAATAATCTTAATTGCTATTTTGAGTCAATGAATTATTTATTTGTAGAATTTTTAAGCTACGATTTAGATATTGGATCTTTTTATAAAGTTAACCGAGCTGGTTAGTCTGTTTTATCATAACGATAACAGTAACCGACTATAAATATTATTGTTGTCGTATTATTAAGCACTCACTACCACAACGATACGTAATTAAAGTATATGTGGTAATTCTATTAAAAAAATTGATCCATAATAAAATTAACTTATATCGATCGATATAATTGAACGCGTAATCTTATCAAAGATCGAGGAAAAAAATAAAAGATTACTTGAATATAACGTGCATGCCTGTGCCCAAATTCAGGCTGATTTTGTTTTCAATTGGCAAAAAAGTGGTTAATGAATTTAAAAGCAATAATTTTTTTGCGGTTGTTAGATAGATTGGTGATTTTTCTATTCGGAATTTGGCAAACTTATAACTACGTATTGGATTTTTATTTAAAAACAAACCACTTATTCATTTAAAGCTAAATCAGAAAAACTTTAAATTTACGTATATTTGTATAAGAAATGAAGTAGATTACATATAATAAAGCTGGACATTCTAGATAATAATAATAATAAATACTAATCAAATCACTAATAACGATAAATTTAATTAAATAAAAACAATACTACGGTATTATGTCAGACCTCTATTTAGTGACTATGCGATTTAACTAATGCCTTACTTTAACATCATCTGTAAATACAAACCAGGCTCAATTTAGCGAATCTCTTGAAATAGCGACATTTTTTCAATTTCTTACTATATGTCCCGACCCATCTTTAAATCAAGATTTGACAATATGTAAAACCTCCTTCGATTTACTTTGTTAGGTAGTAACATCTAAGGATAATTCTAACTTCAAAATCAAAGTCACCTTCTTTTCAATAACGCTGTTACTTATGAAATCTGGATTCGTATCGAGTGATTCGAGAGTCGAAAGACACCGAATTTTATTAAAATCGAGGAAAATAAACCGGAAAAATTCCTATACAATCACAGAGATTAATTAAAAAGTCATAAAATGATTCAAAATAGCAAATAAAATAAAATACCTACTTTCGTACATGGGTTCCTTCTTCATGCTGACACCATATTTAAAAATCTTGTCATCAAGCGAGAAATCATCGAGGTTGTGAGGATAAATCGAGCAATATGCTAAATGATGATGAGTTGCCTCCAGAAAATCAATTATAACATCTTCGTAATCTTCCAAATTTTCAAAAAGATACGATAAATCGTGGAATCCAATCGATACGAATGTGGGTGGAAGCTTCTCGGCCATTGTTCTAAAAGCTTGATCGAAATCTGCCGTATAAACATCAAGGTGCTCGAGTTTTGGACAATTTTTCAAAAGAGTGATCGCATTCTCCAGACTAAAATCTGGGAAATTGATAGAACGAAGGTTTCGACTGTGTCTCAAGATCGTTGTTACCAGCGTCTGAGTTATATAATTTTTTTCATATTCGGAAAGACGTGCATCTTGAGAAATCAAAAGATGCTGAAGATTCTGATCGCTCGTTCTGATTATTTTATTTATGAACTCGAGTGGCATCGAATCAGCTGCTCGGATTTCAATAGCCAAAAACTCTAGTTTTTTGAAATACTTCGCTGTATTGATCCACGTTTCTTGTTCTAATTTCACGCATTCGAAGAAATCCAAGGCGGCAAGATTATTACAAGCTTTTAACCCCAGGAAAACACTGTCAGTTTTGAATGCACCGAAATCAATTCGGTAAAATCGGAGAGCTCTTAGTGCATTCGACAAGGAATCAACACAACTACTGACGAATTTGACAGCGAAAGCAGATGAATGAGTAATTTCAAGCCATTGAAAATCCTTTTGAACCACGATCGTGTTTTTTAATCCGATATATGTGTCATTTATCTCCTCGGTAATATCCCCTTTTTTATAACAGTCGAGTTTGATTCCGTACAGAGAACCGCAATTTTCAGCCAAATTTTCAAAGAAATCTCGTAAATTTGTGTCTTCATGGATTCCTTTGATCTTCAATTCTCGGAGATTTGCAAACATCGATTTCTTTGAACATTCTCGAGGAATCGAGTTCCAAAAATCATGATCACATTCCAAGTTATAGTAAAACGATTGAATGCGTTCGGCATTGTTGAGCAAAAGATGGCATAAAGATTCTGTAAAGATTTTACGTTTCTTTAGATCTTCGCCCTGTTTATTTTTCCTTAACCAAGTTCCTGCTGCAAAATCGATTGCTCTCGGTTCGTAATGACGCAAAAATGAGGCGTAGTTGAATGTCGGCGATCGCGGGGTCGGCGGTTGTTTGATTCCGTAACTATAAAGAATATTCCAAGTATCTTTAGAGAAACTTTTGATATAGACTTCTATAACTTTGTCAGTATTATCTGGAAATGTAACTGCTGCTGATTCCGTTTGTCTCGTTTGCGGTGACAACGATCTTTTTCCTACTGTTAGCGGTTCAGCCCAAAGAATCTGCACTGTCTCACAGCAAAATTGTCGATTAACAAGAAGACAATTGAACAATGATGGCATATCGGCATGTTTATATACTTCTTGTCGTAATTCAATTGGTATTTTCTCCATTGATTTTTGAGCTAAACAAACAATAAACTAACTTTATGTGATATCAATCTTTGATCTTTTTTCTTTGATAGAGCAGTAATTTCTACTTAAAAAAAGTACCGGTAGACGAACGGCGTTACAAATGTGCAGATTTTATCGTTATTTACAATGGACGCGTCAAAATCATAAAATTTTGAACTACTATAATCACACAATTCTAAACAAAAACAAAAATTACCATAACGATACATGTACATGGCGTACTGGTACATATTTATATCGATATGTAGCACAAGGCTTTATTGATTAATTTCTATAAATACATTGTGTGACTGAGGGTGCATAAAATTACATTATGGATCTTTCTAGGTACTCCAAGGTTTTCTTGCTCACGTGAGATTATAAATCAATAACGTGTATAATCGGTGATTGTTACTTGAAACTGACGGTATTAACATTAATTAACAAAATATTGATTGCTGTTTCGGAATAATATGAGGATAGTTTTCTGATCACAGTAATTTCAAACTGAAATGCTTACACGAAGCAGGTATCTTTAAACGGGGTGTTCAATGATATCTATCCTGAATTGTTAACTGGTTGGAGTGTTTTACACAGTTACACTATTGATCTGTCGATCAGTTGATCTGCACTAATCGCCACTTCAAACCGTATTTCTTTTTTTGGAGGGGATATTTTTCAACCAGTTAAAGTTGAATTGTTCACTATCATTATGTTTATGTTCTTCTCGTTCATTTATGGTATAGAAAAGCTTACGTTACGGATTTTAATTTTGTTGCAGAAACAAATCAACTATTGTAATATCCTCAACAAACACATATCATTAATTCAAAATCTCTAACCTATTGTCAAAGATAAATTTGGAGTTTCTATTTATTTGAAAAGGTTATTATAAGTTAAAAAGATTTTGGCATTCTATAATCAATGTATAATGTCGAGATTAATAAAAGAACCATTCTATGCTGGCAATATCACAAACGAAGTGAAATTGTGTTTATTGTGGGCTATAAATGAAAATAAAACAAGAAATGCCAAAAAGCGACAAGCACAAAATTATTAGTGACAGACTAAGACTAAAAATCTGCTTGTCTCAAAGGCAAGAGAAAAGGATGGTCAAAGGAAGCACTCAAGAATTATTTGATTAGCTATTCTGCAAATTTTTTATCACACCAAACTAATGTTATTATCTACAATCTATTTTAACGCGGCGGTAATATTATTCCGCTGGCAAATATTTTAAATAAGAACATTCTTTCGGTCAATGTATAAAAATAACAAAAGAAGAGAATTCCGACTTTCACCGGTTATGAAGTGGAACTTTTATATTTTATACATGTATTTATCAATAAAAAATATCGATATCGATATACATGTACGTATAAGTACGTAATGTTTACTGTACATGTACATATACATGTACATGTATTATGAACTCTCGATATAGTAATTTTTGAATGCACATGCATGTATTTCGGACTACGTACCCAGATAGATACAGTATCATGAAAAAAAGATTCGATATTTCACAAAATTACGTAGGCCTAGCTTTTCCCGAAGCTACACATGAAAAACTATATTCGCATCAAAGAAAAATTTTTAATTAATCTGATCTTTCTGCTGCTGTTATAATTCACAAGAGAATATATCAACAATCTGGAACTGTATTTAGGTCGCTTCTGCAGAATTGAAAGTACAATTATTCGATGTATTCTGCAACAGAATTTATCTAATTTTGAATTATTGTATAACTTGAGTAAATTTTTTGTTTTATTATAGGATTACAATCAATATCTTTTGTGGTATATTTTGAAAACCAATGAACATTATTTTAGAGAATAAAATTAGATGCAATGAGCAATTTCTTTTGTTAACAAATGTTTAAGAAATGAAGTAATTGTAGTAACAAAGTTTAAAGCAGTATTGTCAGTTTTTATATGTACAATTGCTTTAAATTGGAATTGGACATATATGTATATCCAATAGCAGTAAGAGCTGAAACAGCTCGAGTCAGCTCGTATATATACTCGCAAAAGTAGAGCCAGAATGGTTCTTATTTAACGCGAGCCGAATCATTACGAGCCGGAGTCAGTGATGTGTTTTGGCTCTCGACTCTACGAGTATTTGCATAATAATGAATATTTTTTGTTTAGTAAAATTCTAATCAATATTATCATGATGTTGATGATTTGATTAGAATTTTATTAATATAATATAACAATTCAATAAAAACTCACAACTATTATTTTTTATTTGATATCTTTGGACTTCCGAGCTTTCAATAAGAGTCCGAGTTAAAACATGACCCGACTCTTCTTAACTCAGCTCGGCTCGAACCGAGTTTTCTAAAGCGAGTCAAGCTAGAGCACATCTCAATCTTGACTCGACTCGGTCTTTCGGAGCCTAATTAGCAGTTCCGATTTGTCCAATTTTCAACACTGCTTAAAGCGCCTGGTTGGTTACATCAAAAATTCAGCTTAGGTAAGTTAAGTTTTTAGTTGCCTATCAAATATAATAAAAACACAAAATGCATATTACGTACGAAAATATTTGGCGTTTAGAATTCTCCCAACCACGTTTGGCGATGACTAATTTCTTAGTATATACAACATACTTTTCTGCCGTATGGTGCACGATATAGCAAGCAAACTACGTAGTGATTGTAATCCCCTGTAGTGTTTCAGGAGAAATAATTTTCAGTTTCGCCCTGTAAGTCACGAAATCCTAATTTGGAAGCACATTGTAGATCAAATGGGCAAAACAACCTTTTTTTTATTACAATTTCTACCTCATAACAACATGCAAACAAACGAAGAGCATATATATTATCTGTAATCATGGCTCTGAGAATGAAGATAAAGCAAACGAAAAGCAGAAGTTGAGTTTATATATAACTTCTATCTAATTTTTGGTGCTTTTTGTAAAGTTTAGAGCTTCACTTTCTTATTTTTCAGGAAGCCTTTAATTCCTTCAATGACTGTACTTCCGATTCTTGTTTTTATCAATTTAGTTAATTGTTTCGATGGAATTGAGAAGAGCCGTAAGAAATGTTATCGTGGATTATTAATTTCGGACCTCAATTGTGTATGATAACATGTTAAAAAATTTTATACATGCAATATAAAAAACAATATTCTAAAATTAAAATTATTTTAATAGGCAGTTTAAGGGTAAAAACAATATCAAATTAAAATATAAATTAACTATTCTTTCAAAATACTAAAAACTTTAGTGTAGATTTTTTAATTATTAGTTTCGCAAATTTAAAGTATATAATCAAAATTATTTAAAATATTTTATAAATTTATATTAATAATTTATATATATTTTTAAATATTAAATTAAAAGTAATAATTTGTTATTTATTAATAATATTTATTAATTTTTATATTAAATATTATTTTTTTAATTATAAGTTTTAATTTGAAAAATAATTTTTTGGTTTTATTTATGAGTTTATAAATAATTATTTATAATATTGCTTTATTTAAATAAGAAAAAATATAAAATTATAAATTAACTTAATTTATTATATATAATAGCAATCAAAAATAATGTAATAATATCAAAATTTATTAATTAAATATAGTAAAATACAAATTTTTTGCTTTATAAAAATATTTTTAATTTTACTAATAAATATATTTTATTTTTATATTAAAATAAAGATAATATTATCTAATTTAAATATTTTTTATTTTTAATTGGATAAAGTTATTTTAATTATAATGTAGATATGAATATTATAACGCGATTTAAATTATGACGCATTACTAATAGCTTATTATGTAAATTATTAGTAATGCGTCATTTTAGGTAGTGCGTCATAATACCCATGTCTACCTTATATTTAATAAATGAAATTTACATTCTAGGATTTTTCACGGATGGATCAGGCAGCGTGACATACATTATCCAATCTGTCCCTCTTATTTTAGTGCTATCAAAGAAACCAGGGGATGTTCGTCTGAATAAATCAGAAAGATTCTTTAATTAATATGATTCAGAAATATAAACTCCTATATTGACTTACCCTCCGGGAAAATCAGAATCGAAAACCGCCTAAAAGAATGTAAATATTGGTTTGAATAGGAAAAAAAGAAGTCTCTTGCTCTAGATTGATTACCTCTGAAGGTAAATAACCTTTTGGTACATTTCCCCGACTTTCATTTGGAAAGTAGTATTTGCCAACCAAGAATTTTTTCCAGTATGCCAATGTCTTTTTGTCGAATTCAGTCATCTTATTTTATTACTTGTCGTTTTATAAAGCTTTGCTACGGAAAAGAAAAATTCTCAATTCAAAAATAAAGAATTAAAATTTTCCTGTCTCCACATCTTCATTTTATACACGAAATGATACGTGTGTTGATGGTGCGGTTAGTATGTGGCTGGACTGTCTTTTTTCTTAGTCACACAAGTAAAGTATTGTATTGTCACTTTTCCATAAATGGACTTAAAAGATGTACTATATATAACAAAATGTTTGGGCATATTTGTTTACACAATACAGTACGTATATGGATAAATGAATAAAAGTTCTTGCTATTATTTCAGATAAATGAAATTAATAAAATACATAATGGTAAGCTTTTCACTAAATATAAATTTAATACATGTACATGTAGTTATCGGCAATGTTAAACACTGTACGTATTGGAACAATTGCATTATCGAAGATAATTGATGATGTGCAACGCGCATCGGAACGGGAGCACACTGTGGCACATTACTAGAAAAAAATTACAAAAATTGATTGATTGATTGATCTACTTGAATTTAGCCGAACACATCCCTTTTTGTTGTTGCTGTTGTTGTTCGTCGACGTAGTTCGTCGCCATCGTCGTCGTTTTTGAAACGACGCCTCAATAAATAATATATCAATATTTTAATCACATTCATCAGCAACGTCGTCATAAAATTATACTCGCCGCATAATAATCAACTATACTTACCCCATAATAATTAATAATCAACAAAAAAAAATGAGCGTTCGTCAAAAACCGGGACGAAAACCCCGTCTTTCGACGTCCAGCCTACGAGGCAAAAAAGCGACAACTTTTCGACAAATGGAGATAAAATGGGAGGAAATTAAAAAATTATTTGATTTCAATATACCGTGTGGTCGTTTGGCCGCTGTTGTCATTAAAGCTTTATTGATCGTCGAAAATCGTCCGAGTACGGTTACCGAGATTACAGATACGTTGATTGAGTATGGCTTGTCTGAACACGAGTACAGTATTTTATTTTAATTTTTTTGAAATTAAATATATTATTTATATATACAATATGTATATATGTGTTCAGTAATAAATAATATGTTATCACCAGCGCTGCGGAACCATCGAAAAGTATTGGCTCCGCGCTCACAAAATATTTTCGAAATAAACGTAAAGGGGATCCATTAATTAGAGAAATTGGAGAAAGAGGACGTTTCTTTATGAGCTTGGATGGAAGTCATCCTGTCATTGCAAAATTCTTTCCACCAACAAAAGATACTGTCATCACGACAATAACGACAACTAATGCATCAACAAGCGATGAGTCTACCACTGCTATTACCTCCGTTACTAATCCCACCAAATATCCACTAAGACGTGTGAGAGATGAAAAAATTAATAACAGTAGTTCTAATCGTAATTTACGTTCATCTTCAACAATCACACCGTCTAAAATAGTGAAAGATTCCTCTGTTAATGAATTACCACAAAAGAGCGTAAAGGGAAGAAATTTTAAAGTTGGAAAATTTAATCCACTTTCAATAAAGAAAATACCAACGCGAAAAATTGCAACAAAAGCACAGAATAGCAGCAGTAGCGATAATAAAAAGATTAATGGCAGTAGAATCAATGGGAATAGAACTAATAATAATAACAATAATAAGCAAAGTAGTGCAAGATTTAATGAAAAATCAGAGTCTTCATCATCAGTGAATGTAGCTTCTCCTAGTCGGAAACGTCGAGTTATTTTAAACATTCCAGAATCGATTTCACCGATGGAAGAGGATTCTGATGAGTCAAATTCTGATGATAATGAAACTTCTTCGTCATCATCAGAATCTTCAGCAAAATCTTTAGCATCTTCGATTGGTAGTCATAATTTATCTCAAAAAGTAAACATCGTTGTACCATCGCGTCGTCCATATAATCCACCTAACGGACAGTCTAATGGACAGATTGTTTTGACTTCTGAACAGCAACAAAATCTACGCGATGCTGAAAATAAATTTGTACAGATTGAATATTTGTTTAATTTCGATTTGCCAGGAGGTCATTTGATGAAACCTATTGTCAAAACTCTATTAATGCTCGATAACCAGGCTTCTACCGTTGCTGAAATTACTGAAATCATGGTGGAACTTGGCTTAACTGTGCATAAGTAAGTTATGATAAAAGTGATTGATTGAATAAGATTCTTATATTAATTCTTATTATCCTCAAATTAAAAGTGCCGAAGAACCAGCAAAATCTATTTCCTCAAGTGTCTCAAAATATTTTAAGAAATTAAATAATGCTCCATCTCCATTACAGAGGGTTTGGCAACGACGCCGCGCTACATTATTACTTGATGAATCAATCGAACAAATAGCTCGAGTTCTAAATCGTCCTAATATTTACCTTACTTCGCCTGGTGGTGTGGATAACTCCAGCGGTGAATCGATTTATGATACTGCATCAGAAATGAATTATGATCCGATAATTGATTCATTCGCACGACAAAGCATGAATCAACATAATCAACATACTGAAATGTACTCTAATTGGCCACCACCGCCACCATCACCTTCTCGTTCCGCTTTTTCGATTTATGATCATTCTCCAGCAATGGATATTGTATCGATCAGCCCTGCTCCTATATCAAGAATTACTGTTCCTGCTGGGCAACAAGTCGCTTTGACCCATGATTTTCATTCGAGAGCTTTCTCGCGGATGGACCGTTACCCTCCAATAATCACATCGTCATCCTCAGTTCAAAGAGAGCAGAATCAACAACAACATTATAATCTTCATTCGAGATTATATTATGAGTAAAGTAAATATCAGTTATCTTTTTATACGTTGGTCTTTGAATTGTATAATATTTCACGAAAATTATCGTCTATAAATATTAAGAAATAAAATCAAAAAACGATAATTTTCTCTGATATTTCTATCTCTCAATGTGATTTACATGTATTTTCTGTGCAAATTTCAAATTGGGTTTATAAATACATGTATCCGCTACGTAACAGCTGATACACTAATGTTTATGCAACTTTGTACATGTACGTATTTCAATGCATTTCTGCTTTACAAAGTACATACGTACATGTACATATTTTTGCATATTTTTTTCCTTTCATTGATCTAGATAATTTTTTACAACTTGCTATTAATTCACTTGACACATTCTGGTTATATCCAAAAGACACCATATCGATATGTTTACGTTTAGTTTTGTTGAGAATGCATATGCATCGAGCAGCTCGAATCTATATTTTGTTTTTACTTTGTGAATGGACTAGTGCAAGAGGAAGAAGATTATTGCACAATGACAATATTAATGTTTACCGCTACAAAAATCTACTTAAGTGACGTCTGATATATTTGTGATGCAAGAATTGTATCTCGAAACTCTAACATTACCGTTACGTACGTACCAAGAGATTTTAAAATACCATTTCCAGATTTCAAGCAATAAGTTGGTTCAAAAGGAGCATCTTTCTCGCAATTCCAAATAATTTGCATCAATTATTCTATTATAATCTAAGACACAAATATTGTAGAATAAATTTCCTCAATACATGTAAAAACCATTTATTTATTTTCAACTTTATAGATGTTTGCGTCTTTAGCGTTAGTGTTAGAAAATAAACAATCAGAAATCAGGTGATATGAGTTCACATGCACAGACAAACCCCTAAATGCACTTTCCTTGGCATAGTAAAGCATGCATTTAGAGAGATGTGCATTTATAGAGGGCAAAATATATAGAGCTCTTATGAGCTGGGATCCAGCCAGTCCTAAAGCAATATACATGTAGTATTAATATCCTTTAGCAACATGGTTGAGTTCATGTAGTGCACAATAAATGTGATTATTATAATGTAATTATTTGCTACAACTTTCTTCTACAATTACAAGACTAGCTATAATAAAAATGCTAAAATATCAAAATTATTTTTACTCTTTCTTTGAAGTTACCTAATTATAATCTATACTTTCACAAATTCTATAATATAATTAATATTTTGCTCTTTTTAATAGTTTATTTGTATGTTAAATTTTATCTATTTCTTTGAATTAATCTTTCAATTTACATTTTTGAGAATTTATTAACTTTTTTGAATCCAAATTCCTCTTGTTTATTTCACTATTAGTTTTAATTTCAATATTATTGATAACTAAATTAGTTTTAATTTCAACAGTATTAATGAATATATTAATTTTAACTTTAATATTAGAAAATAATTCTTGAGAATCATTTAAATATTTCTCAAGAATAGTAATAAAATTGTAAACACATTTTCAAATAGCTATTATTAAAGCTGTTTTTGCTTTATTTCATGCTTTTTTATATAATTTATATTTATTTATAGTCTTGCAATTAATATTCTATACTTTACATAAAGATTCCTAAATTAAATTATTGAGATAAAATACTAAATCACTTTGTATTATTATAAATATATTAATTGAATATGAAATAATACAATATTTATATACAATATTACTTTAAAAAAATAATAATAAATGATTTTATAATTATCATAATCAAAATATAAATATAAATAAATTTTATCATTTAAAAATACTTTAGCTAATATAATTTGTTTAATCTTTCACATTTTTATAATTTTATCAGATTTGACAAGATTAAATATTGTTTTAATAATAATAGCAATAAACTTTGAATTTTCACCAAGTAGATCAAAATTATTAAAATCGATCTATCTTTAAATATATTTTCTTAAAATATCTTATATTTACTTTAAAATATCTTTGTAATCCATTTTCTATAATTATTATAATATAATAATAAAGTATTTGTTTTATTTGATTCTTTTGAATTTTTAATATTTTTACTATCAAATATTTATATAATAATTTATAGATATTTGGAAAAATGATATTAGCTATTGTAATCAGAACAAACTTGAAAATTAACATATAAAAAGATTATATTATGTTTTTTATCTTCTTCAAAAATGCATTTAGATAAAATTTTTACAAGTTTTAATATTGTTATATTGGAGTTGAATATTAATTTTTTAATATTAAAATTGTAATTTTTAATCTGAAAAGTTAAAAATATTTCTACAATAAATAATTCAGTACAAATATTTTTGTTCAGAATTTTTTATTAATATAAATAATTCATTATAAATAGTTAACTATCTTTTTATTATTATACTTTTCAAATAAGTATTTTTTATTAATATTCAAAGATTATTGTAAAATTATTTCATTATGCTTTAAAGAAATTTTAAATAAACTTATTATTTCAATTTTAAGATAATTTTTCAAATTAAGAGAGAGATTCTGAACAATATGAAATATACAATTGAGAGTTTTTGTTGTTAAAAATTCATATCATATTACAGCAGCTAAAGTAGAATTAGTATTTGTAAAAATAATTTGTGAAGTAGCTTTATATATTATTTTTTAATTGTTATAGTATTCAATAGTATGTTTTTTTAGTTTTATCATCTGTTAATATCTGAATTATCATTTACAAAGATAAATAATTGTTAATAAGTAAGAGTAAAATTTTATAGCAATTAATAATAGTAGTATTATCATTTAAAAAAATATCTTTAAATTTAATTATTATTCAATTTAATTAGAAGATATAAAAAACAATTAGCAAAGATATTTGTCATTAAAATTCTAATTTATTTGAATATATCATCAAGAATTAGCTTCTTTATCTTTTAATAATTTTTTATATTATTACTATTAGTAACTTTTATAGATAAAATGTAAGAATAATTTCTTACATGAAAAGTAATAAGATAAATTTATTAATTACTGTAAATAAATTATATTAATTGAGATAGTTTTTAATTTTAATTTTAATAAAGCTTATTTTTTTATTTATTAAATAGTGAAAAGATCTAAAGAGCTATAGTACAAAACAGAGACATTTAAATATATAATTGAGATTTTACAAATTATAAATAAATTAATAATAAAATAGAGAGCAATTAGTTTTAAATTATTAATCTTAAATATGACGTATCTTTAAGTTATGCTGTATTTAATAAAATATGTATAAAATATAAATAATAATAAAAGATAATTAACATGAATTAAAAATAATAAAAGAATGAATAAAAATAAAAATAATTAAAACAATGTGTATTCAAATTAATGATATGATTTATATTTTACATCTAATCTATTTAGCACAACATTAAGAAGTATTAAATATAGATCTGTATTAATTTTTAACATATTATGCAAGAAATAATAAATATAACATAAAAAATAATAGATATGATACAAAAAATTACAAAAATATATGAAAATTATTACAATTATCCTCCTCTTAAAAGTTAATGTTAATATTGAATTAAGAATGCACTTTTTCAAAAGCTTGAACTTTTTCCATTGCATTTTGAGATTGTTTAAAGATTTCCAAGTAGAATCATATAAAGGATATCCAGTTCATTTTACAAGATATTATAGTTATTTTCTTACTATGTACTTGTTTAGAATATTTTCAACTTCACATTCTTTTTTATTGTCTGATGTAATAATAGCGAGTGATAGTGTTGATCTATTAAATTCATTATCTTCATTATATAACTTTAGTAGCGAAATATAAAAAACTGGATGTATTTTTATATTGTTTGGAAGTTCTAATTTATATGCAACTGGTAAAATTTTGTTGATTATATTAAATAGTTCAATTTAACTTTCTTGTTGGCTTTTGTTTATTAACAAGTATATTAATAAAGCAAGTTGATAAGAGAACTTTTTGACCAATTTCAAATTCTTCAAATTTGTGATGTTAATTTGCATATTTTTGTTGTCTGTTCTGAGCTTCTATCAATGCATCTTTTGCTGTTTTTATCATGGTATTCCAGTATTCCAAAAATTCTTGAGAGGTTGCTATCAAGCCAAGAGATAATGTAACTAAGTGATGATTGAATTCACTTTAACCTTTTCAACTACTATGAGATGATTATTGTGATATCCTTGCAATTCATTGTAGTGCTCCTATCAAACTGAACTGAACTTTAGGTCAAGTTCTAGTTCAGTTCAAAATTTGAACTGAATCTGAACTAAACATCATTATGGGTTCAGTTTGAAGTTCTTGAACAAGTTCGAGTTCAGTAAAATTATTTTTGAAAGTGAAGCATTCTAATAATATTGCAGCAAAGTTATTGTTTGATTCTAAGTATGTATGATTTAGGAATCCAAATCTATCCAGTAATCTAATTATAACTGGATATATTATTCCAAGAGTAACAAACTTGAAACAACTCATCAAACAAGTTGCTTGTTCAAAAGATTCAAGAAATGGTATAATTTTTTCAATTGTGTGCCATTCAAGACTGGTTAGAATTAATGATTGTAATATAGCATCTTTGTTATCTTCAAATAGAGTGTTTTTTAATATAATAATTGCTTGTTTTAAAATTAGTAATCTTTTAAAAATATAAAATTTTGAATTTCATTGTGTGTTATTTGTCTTAATAATATCTAAGATTGGTGTTTCATCTTGTTAAATATTGATATTTACTGAAATATTTTGTTGAAGTATGTTATTACTAGTATAAGATAATAATTAAAAATGTTGTTGTTAAAGATATAATTTGTCTCTTTAAGTTATTGTCTTTGTTTAGTTCCTACCAAAAATCTAATAAGATTTTTATATTTTTTATAATATTTTTAATTTTATTTAATCCTTTAATAATACTGAGTTATAATATATAAGTTGCACAAGAAATATAAGTTCCAACTAATTGCTTATTTTACATTAATAGTATTATTAATTGTAATAGATAAGACTTTAAACTATAATTTCTATATATTAAGTAAGT